GGGGGTCGGGGCAGGAGCTCCAACAAGCTGTGAAGGACAGAGTGAATACACATACTATACAGAGATGCTGTATGAGAAACCAATGTGAGTTTGGAACATTGAACAATGTAAATCTATTCTAGTACACCTCAACAATGGAATTATGATCAGTAGAAATGGCCATGACATGGGATCTTTAACATTCTAATCCTAAATCAACATTAAATGGTGTACAAATGTTTTTATTTTCATTTAGTTTAAAGCCATTGTTTGTTTACAGTTTCCGATAAAGATTAGGCTGCTCCCATAGGATTAGTATCATACTGTTTGTAGAATTTGATTCCAGTAGTGGTCTGCGGAGGATTGTTCTCTGCTTGATCCAAACTTTTTTCCGATAACACGAGTGGTGTAAAATCCAACATTCAACAGTCTATGTTTTTCACAACAAGAACCAAAATAACAACAACATTTATTCAGGCTCTAACAGTATCATTTGAAAGTACTTAATTAAGTTAAGGCCTTATTGAATTAGCCTGCTGCCTACATGTATTCATGTCGACAAAAGTACGTTGTTTTAATAAAAGAAGACTTACTTTATTTTTATTCATATTTTATTGAATAAAATCAGGGGTTTTGTTCAAGGATTTTATTTTAGGGTAATGGCAAATATGACAACAGACATTCAAAACTGAATTTGAAAACCTCTGTTAAATGTGTACAGCCCTATAGCCAGGAAATACCTCCAAATAAATAAAGTTTATTGTAAAATAAATGTAATTTTAAAATGTAAATGTATACATCTATATTAAAAAACAACACTATGACAAGGTATAAACATTTTAAAGATCCATTTCTTTTTTTGCTGATTTCATATTTGATAGTCAAGGTCTTTCATATTTAGATTTGTTTAGAACAGCAGTATCATTGGATTTTGTGTTATTTTGAGACTGAAAAATGTTCCACTGTGTGTGTATACTTGCTCAGTAACAGGATCGTGTTGATGTTTGAAAGTAGGCCACAGTGTTTAAGAGGCCGGCAGGAATTACTCAGCTTTAGGAAGTGTGCTTGCAGAAAACATTTGGAGGCTGAGTGACTGAGTCAGCATGTGTGAAGCCACTGCTGAGCAAAAGCAGCCAAAAACTCAACAGCATGGGGATATATAGAAGGCCTCTCAGTACACAGATCTGGTGGAAGAGTGTCAAACTATAACAGCTGTATGACACATGAAATAAGCTCTTTTTAATCCTCTTCCTGTCTGTGTCTCTAAGGCTGAAGGCTACGTCATTGGCAGCTGTATAAAGCACATTCCCATCGCAGGACGAGACATCACCTACTTCACCCAGCAGCTCCTGAGGGAGAGGGAGGTGGGCATCCCTCCGGAGCAGTCGCTGGAGACGGCCAAGGCTGTCAAGGTAAATGTTCACTGCACTTCCTCTCAGCCACTTCCTCTGCTGAGGAGCTGGCTGCAGCCACATTAGGAATTCCATGTGTCAGCAGTGGGATCCAACACATTGCCTCTGAGGTCACAGCAGTTCACAGTAAACCCCAACACAGATGATCTTGTTTGAATATTCTGCTTACACTGTGGCGTGAAAAACCAATATCAAGGTGTATTGAGTAACATATACATATAACATATCCATGAGTAACATACTGATATCAAGGGTTGGGAGATTTACTTTAAAAAATGTATTCCACTACAATTACTACAGAGAATGCTCCGTGTTAGGTAAAATACACACAGTTAAGCTCACACACACTATTTTATGAACATACAGGTTCACCTACTGAATTAAAAAAAAGAACAAATTAAGCAAAGGAAGTGAAAACCATAAACCAGACTCAGGCAGTAGGCGTATAGATTCACACTTAAAGTATTATCCTACAGAACAATACAGCTCTAAGAGAAGAGAGAACATCTGATCCTTTTACAACAAACACTATTATGCTCTTTTTAGTAACATCGTAATCCTGCTAGTAATCCCCAATTTTTACAAATGTTACGGTTACAAGTTATGGGTGTCATATTTCATCTTAATATTTGTTTGTGTGGAGTTTGAGGATAACAGTGGATAATGCAGATAAAGTTCTGCTAAGGTCTATTTACCTGTAGCTGACATGCCATCATTGTTGTTTTGCTTTAGAACAACAGGGGGCAGCATCACTCTTCCTTTCACTTGCAGCTGGTGTCCTTCAAAACCCCCTACTGTTGTTCAGCTTTGTTTGTCTACTTTTATATAATTAGCACAGTTCCCAAAACCGAGATTAGGCAAAGCTATAGACAATTGTATCCCCTATTCTTCACAGGTCACACATATTTATAACTTTATGTAAATGCCATTTCTTCTCTTATTATTACTCTGTCAGTCAGCACATTTTAGCGATTCATCTCAATTCCCCAATAATCCCCAATGTTTATTAAATAGCTTGTTATCCAAGACTTTGTTCTCGATGTCAAAGACTATCCTTCATTACCCGAGACAGACAAACAAAAAATAATGTGAATTCAAATAATTATTATTACCATTGAGGGAATACATGTTGTGCATATTGCCAATCATGTCTGGAAAATGATTCCACTGCTGTATCACTCAGTGTGGACCACGCTTTCTGCAAATTTGACCAGTGACTTCTCTGATTACAGTACACTGTTACGTTCCCCATTCATTTTCACTATTAACTAGCAAGTTTTCAAATTAAATGTTTTTTGAACTTCCCAACTAGCAGTAGAATACATCAGCCAAGAGACCAGAGAAACAGTCCTCTCATTATCACTCTTGTATTACATGCATAGTAAACCTATGTGATTTTTTTTTCAGTGAAACAGCAGCTAGTTGTTAGGGTTTTGAATTAATTGCTTCATTAGGATTACCATTGTAAGGTGTTTTGTTTGTGCCATGCTGAGGCTCATGCTCTCCCCACCAGGAGCGCTTCAGCTACGTGTGCCCGGATCTAGTCAAAGAGTTGAACAAGTACGACACGGACGGCTCCAAGTGGATCAAGCAGTACACCGGCATCAACTCCGTCAGCAAGAAGGAGTTCACCATCGATGTGGGCTACGAGCGCTTCCTGGGACCCGAGATCTTCTTCCACCCAGAGGTCAGTGCAGTGTGAATCCAAGCAGGAATCACACAACATTTAGGTGTCCCCAGCTTAACTTAGATGATCAACTTCTCCACTGTTTCGCGTGTTGCACACTCAGCTAGGTCTAATAAGTGATGCATCCGTAAAAATATTTGCTAACCTTCCTAAACTTGCATAAATGAAGAAGTTTGCTTTCAATGAACCCACAAATACACAAATAAATGTTTAGATGCAGATGATTATCCGACAGGCATTAGTCCATATTTGTATGGTTGGGTACCGAAAACCGGTTCCGATTCCGGAACATACTTATTTTCCTGGGGGTTTTCATAAATCCCTTTAGTCCCCTGTGGAATTGGCATGTGACTTAGTTTTGCCCTCTCAAAGAACAGAAAGAACCAGGATCGATTATCAGAACCGAAATCAGAACAGGAATCGTTCAAATCCAAACGATACCCAACCCTATATATTGGTGACCAATCACACCCTGTTTCTCACGATTCACTCATCATTTAACTGGTAAAACTTTCACAACGCTTCTCCACCTGAACATACAGAAGGGCATCACTGCAATGTAGCTGTATACTGTTGGCTAGGTCTAGTGAAAAGAAGCACCAGTGTGGGCTTTACTTAATGTAACCATAACTTGACCTACTAAACCTATCAGATAGTTACAGGTCAACAAATCTAACAAAATAGAAAATAGCTTGTACAAAATAATGCAGTTTCCATGTCCTTTAGCATTCCAGTGTGCATTTATGGGGCCAACATTACTGCGCCTCCCAGATATGCCTTTATGGCAGCTGCTCTCATAAGAACAGACTCTGACGCCTCACACTCTGCTCTGGCACAGGATCATTAAACTCACTGCACAGTATAACATATGTGTCTGTTATCCTCCGATCCCAGTTTGCCAACCCTGACTTCACCCAGCCTATCTCTGAAGTTGTGGACGAGGTCATTCAGAACTGCCCTATAGACGTCAGGCGTCCTCTCTATAAAGTAAGTTCAGTCACCATGGTAACAGGATGCTTGTTTGTCAAAAACCACTGTCAACAGCTGTTGTTGTGTTGCACCATTCAAGACCTGCTTTATCCACACATGAAATAATGAGACCTTAAGTATTGCCAGTTTTGCACAAGCCTCCAAATATTTACACATCTGTACACAAGCTACCTCTCATCCACTTTCCATAACAATACTTTTACTTTTATTTATTATTCTAAATACTTGGCAATAGTATACTGCACGTAGTTTCTTTAAATATTAGATGTAAAAAGGCAAATTCCTCGTATGTGTAAACCTACTTGGCAAAACACCTGATTCTGATTCAAATATCACATTCAGACCTGACAGCTGACAAACAGGGAAAACTTTCAGTGTTTCTCCAGGCAGATTAGATCATCCAACAGCTTTACTGCATTATTTGTAGAGTTTTTACATATCACAGGGTTCGTACAAAGTCTTTGGATAATGCTTAAGGTGAAGGTCAGGAATATGTACACATTCAGATTTATCATCCACACAATCACTCATTTCAAATGTAACAATCCTCCATTTGTTTGTTGTTGGGGAGCTAACTAAGCATTTCATAATGATGATCAAAATATAGAATCAAAGTTGATATTAACATTGCTACTAACTAACTGATTGCTAGGTATACAATAATTCTAGGCATAAGGGAATTCTGTTAACTTTATTTCAACATCTAGGTAAACCTCATTCATTTATTTGATCATTTATTTAATTATAAATGACAAAGGCTTTGAGGGTCTGGACATTTTGATTATTGCACCTTGTAAGTTCTTGAAAAATGCTTGAATTTTACTCTTAAAAGGGTGTGCACCATTATTTTTGCTTGTCTTCAAATTCATATGTCTAAAGTGATAAATTGCCATTTCTAGTAGGGCTGTGCAATTTAATCGATCCTGCGATATATATCGATATTTTGTTTCCCGAGAAAGTATCAATATTTCAGCCGAGGGTATCGATACATTAACTCCCATTTAAATCCCCCGTGTTCCGCCTGGCACTCTGCTCGCTGCCCATTCCCCCCCGTTCGCTTTGCATGAAGAGCGGTTACTCAGCCAGCCGAGCCGCTAGTGTCGCTGTAGAGCATTTCTAGATACACAGACGCCGGTGTCTTCTTCTCGCAGTGAGTGCGAAGCGGTTCAGGAAAATGGCGGCAAACATTAACCACACTGGAGAGGGTCTTCTCTACCGCCGGAGATATCGGCCCAATCCCAAACCACTCCCTCGACGGAGTGAACTCCGTCTGTAGCCACACTCGCAGCTCAACGAGGCTCCCTCCTGTCAGATGGAGGGAGTAAATACAGCAGCAAGCTTTGGGACGGCCTCCCCTCTCTCCGGCAGAAACAGGAAATGCCGTAACTGTATGTAACAACGGTTTCAAATCAGCATCTCTTAGACAAAAAGTTTAAATTAATAATTAAAATAAAACTCCTAACATCTTTCATTGTGTTTCAAAGCTCTTTTAGTTTTAAACCTGATGTTTATAAGCTTCTTAGTTTTTGCAACGGTCTGTAAATATACACAACTTTATAATAAAATGCACACATTTACCTTTTTCTAGACTAAACACAGGTATGATCCTAAGTTAAAACATATGAGGTTGTTAACATCGCATGTTTGTTGGAACTACTTGTTAACAGCTTGACAGCAGCGGACATACACAGCGCGACTCCGGTCAGGTAGAGACCGGTCTCAAGTCAACACCGCTGCAGACTCGCTGTTTGAGGGCTTGATAGCCCACTCCCCCTCCACACCATAGATATATATAATATATATATATATATATGTATGTATATATATATGTGTATATATATATGTTTATATATATCTATGCTCCACACCGCTCCACACTCGTTGGTTTGGAACAGCCCTCAATATGGCGGACCCTCCGCGTGAACGCGCAAACGGAGGGG